ACCATTTTTCAAAACATTGTTTTCTACAGTAATCAATCTCCACCACACATTCAAATAATAAAATATTCTACACATAAACCGATAAAGTTTCTTTCAATTTTAACCACACATTCTCCAAAAAATACTATTCATTACACCATTTTCATCACAATAATGGTAGACAAACAGGCACTAAAATTCCTAAGGGTATTGTTCGAAAATTTCTCCAACTATTAACATAGTTCCTAGGTGTGTCCATACTCTAAATAGAGAAAATAAAAAAAATAAAAACATATAGTACTCGAGGGAATAAAGCAACTCCACAACAGCCACAAATTGTGATACTGAATGGTGGGTTCCTATATCAAGAAAAAGAAGGTCATTTCGAGTTATAACACTGTTCGAACCAGGAGGAATTTTTTGCTGTAAAAGAGCAAGCTCATGATGCCTGCTTTCTTCATAGTCTACTCTGCTAGAACCAGAATTCTAAACCCTTCAACATTTTCCTTTTTCTCTTTCAGTATTCCCTCTTCAGGGGTTCTAAATCTCACTGTTTAAAGGTAATGCTTTTATTAGTACAAGGTATTCTTTTTCTTTTCCTTTCTTTTTTGACTTTTATGCTCATTTTGTATTCTTATTTCTTTGGGAAGTATTTATGATAGTGGTGAAGGCTGCAGACAATCATAATTAAATTAATTCCCAGTAATTACTAAAAACTCTTGTTAGAACTCAGGAAAAGTTGGAATTTGCCTCGGTTCACTATTTTGACTGATTAATGTTTGGTTTTGATACCTAATAAATTTCGGGCTATGAAGTTAAACCGATTTTGTTTGTTGGATTATACTTCGTAGGCTTCGACCGATTGCTGAAGTTGTACATCGACACCACAATTAGTCAGACGAATCCTATGACCTACTTGGGCCATTCGAAGTAGCCTAATTAAGTTAGTGTTGCTCATAGCCCAACCCAAAACTCTTGGACGGCTTGTTTGGTTGATAACCCATTTGTTTGCTATCACTTGAACCCTTACCATTGTTTAACCTAAAAGCCCACTTATAGTACATATATATTTGGTGCACCATTACTATTTCCATTGTGTGTGAAGTGAGATAGCCGTGTATTGAAGAGAAAAACCGAATTCCCTCTTTTGCTTGGTGCTTGAGCGAGGCCTTTTAGTTTCCTCTTCTTCTCTTGTCTTTGTGGTTGTCATTTGTGGCTATTAACCTTCACACTCCTTGTCCTTTGTGGGCATTGAAGAGCAACCGGGTTTGGGAGTTTTTGGTAGTTTGATTTGGTCTCTATTGTGGTGTCGATTGGTTTGGAGACTGAGCCCGGTTCTTGGTTAATTGGAGCCCCAATTTTTAACAATTAACTTCATTCTAGTGATCAAAATAGGTAGAAGAGAAGGTTTTTGAGTTGAAGTGATAAATTTTAGTTTAAGTCATGTTTGTCTTCCTTCAAAACAAAGCTATTTAATTTTCATACTCATTTTCAACTACGTATTCATACAATAAAATATTTTGAACGTAAACCCAAAACTTTTTACAACTTTTAGAGCTTGTTTGGTAACACTAAAAATTCAATTAAAATTGAAAATATAGCCGTTATTGGGTCCCACCCGTCTAATAAAAGTCAACAATAACGGCTAGTTTTTCAATTTTAATTCGATTTTAATCTCTACCAAACACACTCATAGAATGTTAGCTTGTTTGGTAACACTAAAAATTCAATTAAAATTGAAAATATACTTATTGGGCCACATCCGTCTAATAAAAGTCAACAATAACGGCTAGTTTTTCAATTTTAATTCGATTTTAATCTCTACCAAACACACTCTTAATTACACATTCTCCAAAGAATTACTATTCAAACCATCATTTTTTCTTAATAATGGCCATCAAATAGGGGCTAAAAGTTACCTCGAGAAAAAGTTTGAACTTTCAAAAAAAGTAAAGAATTTGTCTCTTCAATGGCCAAACACGCGCTACGAATGGGTGATATTGAATTTTATCTTTTAATCTTAAAGAAATAAATCATATTTGAACGAGTAAAGAAAATTTCTAGTGAATTCTATACAGCTGCTAATGATAATTAACAAGCATATAAATGTGAAAAATAGTCGAAACTAGCTAGAGGCAATATCGCTAGGGTTTCACCTTGATTTCTTGCTTTGTTTGATAAAATTTTATCAATTTCTTAATCGATCAAACTTCAAAATCTACTAAAAATTCTATTAAACTACCCCTTGATCAATATCACTTTTTAGTTCTTGCACTGCGTTCTCTTTAGCGGGATTCTCCAATATCTTATAACCTTCTTGAATTCAATAATGGCCAAGTGCTATTACTTTTCAGTAATCATCGTACACAAGTTAAATATTCGCATTTTTGGGACGTAACTGAATTTAAATTTAAGTGATTATAAATTGTGAATTTTACTGGATGTATGGATAATAGCGGATAGTAATCACGGATGCAGCGAAATACATAAATAAAAAATACGTTTGATTAGGTTAAATTATAATTTAATAACTTTCCAAACATGTACTAAGCCATGTTTTACAAAGCTTTTTATATTATAAGTTAACAAAACTTTATTTTTAATTAGACATTTCATTGGATCCACAATTTTTATCCATCTTTTTAACCACATATTTCATTAGACTCGCCAACTTTTAATCTTAAACAACTTGGTCAAACATGGATTAAGTTTCTTTATATCCAGATTGTATAGCCAAGTATTAGTTAGAAATGTCATAAAATAAGAGAATAAGAGAAGAGAACAGGAAGAGTAAAATACAACCGAATGCCTTTTTGTTCGCATTATAAGTAGTATTCAAATATGTCCTTGTCGAAGTACAACATGTGACGTTTGTGATGGTGCATAAAACCCGTACGTCGGGCGTTACGCTTAGTGCTTGGTTGTCACAATGGGCTCATTCATTTTTGTTGGGTTTGATCATGAAGTACGGGCATTATAAACAAGCTTATAGTGACAAAAACCAACCACATTTTAGAAATATCTTAACATTGTTGTGAAAAAATATTTATTTTTAACTAAACACAATTGTAGAGCAATATATTAGGTTTGAATTTTTTAATTTTTTTTGTTTATCTTTGACAATGAAATTTATTCTTACATTGAATCAATACTACTTTTAAACTTTCAACAACAAAACAACTTTGATGTGTATATTTTAACGACCAATGGTATGATCGTTGAATGTCGACAAATATTTTGGTGTCGAAACAAAGTTGGCACCTAGGCCTTGTTGTCTACTTTTAAACAACGAAGCATTATTGGTCTTGGAATATCAACTTTAAACGACGAATAAATAGTGGTTGGTGAATGTTAACAAATATTTTGGCATGAGCTCAAAAATTTTAAGCATTGTTGATTCCACTTCTGCTGAAGTAAAAGCAAAGAGAAGTAGCAATAAAATGGATGAAAATGAAGATAATTCCATAACTTCTTTTTTTCTCCTAAGTGTTTGCACTGTGTTTTTCACCTTTTCTCCCTTCTCTCTTTCTCTCGGTTTCTTTCTGGAGGATGGCCAGATGCCAAAATAAAAGAAAGAAATTGGTGGGGTCCTCCAACAATTATTGCAAATTAAATCTTTTTCTTTCTATCTCTATGTATTATTTACCTCAAGATTTCTATACTTACCAAATAGCTCCAACAAACTCCACTAGTTCATTTTAGTCCCCATAAAATTATTTACTTAATTTAAGTCCCCATTTGGCTTTGACTTGATCACCAAATAATTTATTGACTTTGACTATTAATGAGCGAGTCGTAACGTATGTTGCCTAAGAAAGATGCAAAATTGAGGTGGGCGTAACATATGTTATTTCCTATTGAGGCAGTTGACGGTCAACGATCAACAATCGAAGGTTAACAACCGTCTAACTCACACGAGATCCCGAATCCGCTACTAATGGTTATGGACAATTTTAACTATGAGACTTGGAAATTTTTTGTAGCCTCGTCTCGTACGTATTAAACAATTTTTTTTTGTAAGGTTCTTCTGTTTACATGGATTTGGAATGTTAGAGAAATTCTATATGATTATAATAATTGTTATTATA